CTGCTGCCGCCCGAGCCAGCCCCCCAGCGCCGCCTCGCTGTCTTCGCGCAGCCGGCTGAGCGCAGGCGCACGCGGGCTGCCGCCTCTTCCGTTGCGCCAACGTGCAGCGAGCCAATCCGAGCTGAGGGCCGGCGAGTGACAGGGCTGTCGTCCAATCGGCTGACCGACTCGAGCCGAAGGGCCCGCGCTGCCACCCAATGATAGGCTTTCAGGACAACTAAGTGGAGCAGGTAGGGAGCGATGGCGGCGGCGCCCAGGCGATTCGGGCGAGGGGCGCCCCCTCCTGCGCATCCACGAGAAGGGTGGCTGGTCGGCTCCCCTTCCTCCCTAGACCTCTCCCGGGACGTCGCCTCGTCTCTCCTCTCTGCCGGGTGCCGGCGCTCGTGAATCGCGCCTTCCTTCGGCCCGGTAGAGCCTCCGAAGCCACTCGTAGCCAGTGTTAGCAGAAGGAAGGACCTTGAGCCGAGACTAACCTTAGCTTTTGTCTCTGGGTCTGGGTCTGTAGCTGCAGTAGGGGCCCCACAACCATCCGTACTGTACGGGCACCGTCTCTTCCTTTGTGTTTGGGCTACTACCCTTCATTCCCGGTACCAGAAGGAATGAAAAGACTGGGGTTGGTCTCCATGGCAACTGGCGGGAGGAGGTGGATTCTAAATCCTTCGCTTATACCTCCTGTCTGAAGGAGGCTGTGTGAACTGTGTGAAGGCCTGGAAGCGCGAGCGCTTTGCATGTGCGTGTGCGTGTGCGTGTGCGTGTGTGTGTGTGCGCGTGTGTGTGTGTGTGTGTGTGTGTGTGTGTGTGTGAGAGAGAGAGAGAGAGAGAGAGAGCTTTTTGCATGTCTGTGTCCCATGTGCGTCCTAATGTTCGCTGAGGGCAGAAAAGGCCGAGGGATTGACCGTAAGGGTCCCAGGAACCTAACCCCTGCCCTCTGCAAAAACAGCAAGTGCTCTTAATCACTGAACAGTAGCTCCAGCCCGCTGGGTTGTCTTTTTGCAGAAGACAGGGATTATGAGGTCCACTCATACCAAAGGCTCTTTCTTCCCAACATCCCCCACTACCAAAGGCTGCCTTGACCCCCGAAGTATCCCCACCCAGCTATACCCCTAAGAGAGTCCCTCAATTTTAAGTGACTGGGGCTTTCTCACAATTTCCTAGTGCCTTTTCCGAGAGGCGATAGTGTCCCCTGAGTAACAGCCCCCTTCTCTTCACTTCCTCCATCATTAATAGTACCAGGCTGAGCTTCTTTTGTGTCTGTCGATTAATACTCCCATATTCACTCCAAACTAGTGCCCCACGGTGTAGGACTAACTCTCGAAACCGTATTTCGTAACTTGAAATTCCAGCTGCTGCAGGAAAACACTCCGTACAGATCTAACAAGAATCAAGAACACCCATAGCAGAGCTGGAGAGACTCATCAACAGTTAAGAGCAGAGGACCAGGATTTGGTTCCCAGCACCCACATGGCGCTCACAACCTTCAGTAACTCCAGGGGATTTCACTCTCCTAGCCCCTCTGGAGTACCAGGCACCCACATGCTGACACTAAGATGATGCATGCAGCCAAGACACCTGTCTCTGTCCCATGTGTAGCCACCATGCCAACCCAAAGCACTGGGCTAGGGCCTGAGAATAGCTCCTTCTAGACTTTAGGCATCACCACTAGAATCTTCAGACATAATTGGAATTCTGAGTTATGTGCAACCAATAAAGGCAAGACGTAGATGAGACACAATAAGAGCCATCAAAGCCACACTACTGAACACAGCATGCCCCCTTCCTCCTGATCATCCAGCTGGTGGTGTTCATTGGATCTACATGCCAGAAGTGCTTGCTATCACAGAGGAAACTGCATTCTTGCTTCCAGTGTTGTGTGCAGATTGGTTATCTGACTGTTGCCTCCATGCCTGGCTTCATCTGTGGCAACGGAACACACCTCCCCACTTGCTGATAAGGTTAAGGCCTTCTTAGCTAATCCGTCTACATTTGTGGCTGCTGTCCCTGTGGCAACAGCTATCGCTGCTGCTCTTGCTTCTGCGGCCTCACCCAAAACTGAAGCCAAGGGAGAGTCAGAGGAGTCAGGCATGGCTATGGGATTTTGACTAATTACAAAGTCTCGACCAATTCAGCCAGCTTTATTTGTAAATTATGGAAATCAAAGGCTTAGATTCGGGTGATGAGGCAATTATCTAAAAACACATAGATTTAAAAGATAACAAGAGAACTGGGGATACAGCCCCATTAGGGAGTGCTTGCTCAGTGTAGGGAGGGAAGCCTTGGATTCAGGCTCCCATCATGGGAGAAGGTAAGCTATTCTCTGCCTTTGTAATTAAAAGAAGGCACAGATTGGAGCCAAACGTGGTGGTCCATGCCTGTAATTGCCGCACTCAGGAGGCTCCTAAGTTCAAGGCTACCCTGGGCTATATAGGAAGACCCTGTCTCAAGAAGAAAAGGAACAGCACAGATTGAAGTTTCCATAAATTACTAAAATCCCCAAGGTTTTTGAAACAGCCAATTTTTTTTTTTTAACTACATGGTTCTGGTGGCCTCAAACTAAGTACAACAGGCTAGCCTTGAAATTGCAATGCTCCTGCCTCAGCCTCCTAGAGCTGGAGTGTGTGTGTACCACCACGCTCAACTTTGTCTCTTGAATATATTTTTCAACATTCACATTGTTGATATTTGTGAACTTGCTGACAATCTATGGCATCGTCAGATTTAATGACAATGAAATAGGATGTTTATAATCTTAAATCAAAAATGCAAATTGTTGGGCATGGTGGCACATAACCTGTAATCAATCCTGGCACTTGGGTGGCAGAGATGGGTAGATCTCTGTGAGTTTGAGAAACAAAGAATGTGTACTCTTAAGATTCTGTACTAAGTTCAGAGGCTGGGATCTTTCTCAGTGGGACTTGCCTAATATTCCCAAGGCCCTGAATCCTCAGCACTGCAATTACTAATTAGTTAAGTATTTTGTTTTTTTTCTTTCTTCTTTCTTCCGTTTTTTTACTGACTTTTTTTTTTTCTCTTTTTTTTTTTTTTTTTTTTACACAAGGTTTCTCTGTGTAGCCCTGGCTGTCCTAGAACTCACTCTGTAGCCCAGTTCTGTAGCCACCGAACTCAGAGATCTGCCTGCCTCTGCCTCCCAAGAGCTGAAATCAAAGGGGTGCACCACCACTGGCACTACCTGGCACTAATTAGTTAACTAAATTGAATAGGGCTGGACACAGTGGTGCACACCTAGAATCCTAGCACTTGGGAGGTGGAGGCAGGAGGATCAGAAGTTAAGGCAGGTAGTCTCCCTTATGTAGCTGGAGGCCAGCCTTTTTGATATTAATGTAAAATATGAGGAAGATGATGGCTACTTTGGGGAAAAGCAGAAAGGAAAACAGAGGCCTCTAGGAGATTAGTAACTTTTTTTTGTTATTATGGGGGCATGTGCCTGTGCCATAGTGCCCATGTGGAAATCAGAGGATGATTTTATGGAGTCACTTCTCTCCATCTTTTATGTCCCAGGAATTAAACTCAGGTCATAGGCTTACAAGGCAGATGCTTTGCCCACTGGCCTGTGAGACTGGTAATGTTTCTTGGTCTGAGTGGTTACATGTGTTTACTATGTAATATTTCATCAAGTGTTCATTTGTGATTTGTGTAATGGTCTCTGTTAACATTTTTAAAAAGAGAAGTTGAGTATTAGCAATGGAATAAACAAACCTATGATTAAGCATAGCTGTTTACCTCCAAAAAGTAAAATGAAATTAGCAAGTAAGAGCTGGGCAGTGGTGGCACATGCCTTTAATCCCAGCATTCAGGAGGCAGAGGTAGGAGGATCTCTGAGTTCCAGGACAGCCAGAACTGTTACACAGAGAAATCCTGTCTTGAAGGGAAAAAAAAAAAGACGTTTCCCTTCTCTGTGGTTAGGATGGGTTTTTTGGAGAGAACATTATTGTGGTTTTTATCACTCTCGGTCTCCCTTAGTTTTCTACTGTACAAGCCAGAGCAAGCAGCACTGGGCACTTGGTAAACAGTGCAGAGGAACTGACCAAATTCCAAAAGAAGCGACTTGCTAAACTAGAGCTATTTCTGTGCTGAAACACCATTAGTTGTTTATTGCTAGGTTAAAGGAATGTTTAAACAAACTGTCAGTGATTCCCAGTTTCTCTGAGTAAGGAAATTAGGAGTAACTTAGCTGGCAGGTTCAGTCTTAGGGTCTTTTAAAGGTACAGTTGGGCTGGTTAACTCAGTGGTTAAGGGCATTTGTTGATCTTGCAGAGGACCAGGGTTCAGTTTCTAGTACCTATGTGGTAGTTCACAACTATCCATAACTAATTCTAGAGGATGGAATACTCTAATGACCTCTGCAGGCATCAGGCACACCCATGGTACACAGCCAGACGTGCAGGCAAAACACTCATACACATAAAATTAAGAAGAGTAAGTAAGTACTGTTGATGAAAACAGGCTGGCAAGGTAGTACTGGTGATTCACAGGAGGCCTCAACTCAAAGTGTGGGCCTCTCTAGGGTTGCTGAATTGCCCTCACAACATAGCAGCTGGCTTTCTCCAGAGCTTGTGTTCTGAGAGAAAACAGAGGTGACAGTGTCTTCTATGACATAGGCTGG